TCAATTTTCCCTTCGGTACGAGTACGCACTTTCCTTGGACTTGTGAACGTACTGGTACCCATCGCGGGAACGCATTTACCAGGCGCGTAGCAAGCCAATTTTTGTCGTGTAAGCCCGATAGGTTGCAAAGCTGTATATTTAGTTAGTGTTGAGACCTTGCCCAACTTTCATTTTCAAAATCATGTCTAAGCCCGGGGCTTTTTTCATGGTGATAATTTCAAAAACCGAAATCACTTTATTAGGCATTGGGCTAAAAATGGAATTTTAACAATTAAGGACCTTTGTAATGATATTTTAAGTCTTTTGAAGATCATGAAACTTAAATTTGATATTGGAGGAACATATATGGTTTTTGTAATGTTGATAGTGAAACTTTATGTCATGAATTGGGAATGAGTTGTAACCCAAACCTTCTTGATGAAGAACTTGAAAACTGGATAATCCAAAACAAACAGAAATTTGAAATAAGAAAGACTTGGGTTTGGTTTGGTTTTGGTAATAAGCCATTGCTAAATCATATAATCTTTTATGCTAAAAGTCATATATATATACTTGCACTTTAAAGCACTTTAAAAAGAAAATAATTCTTAAAAGTTAAAGAACTTACACGGTTGAAATATTCATATATCCAGAAGGAACAATAATTTTGATAATTTTCAGAGAAATGGTTTCCTTTATCCTCAGTTTTCAATCTCTGACTTAATCTGTAATCAAACTTGAATAACTTTATTGCATTATAATTTCTTCATGCTACCAGTTGATGAACTTTGATCATGCATATGTACACTTTTGGCTTTACTTTATATGCTTGTATTCAATTATGGGAACAAATGAAAAAAAAATCACTAAGAGTTTAAGGTAGCTGGTCACGTGATCATTATCGTATTCTAGTTTCAGACCATCACACCGATTACAAATGAGATATTCTTCAAGATCATTAAGGTTAACAGCTGTGTTTGTTCAAACATGCCATAGAAAGTCAAGTGAGTGTATGAGTGGTTTTTTTCCAACACGTGGGCGGACATACATACATACCATTGCAACCGCTTCACAATATATTATATGCACAAATATTCTACATACACAATGAATTTTAGTAGAGTGGGTCGTTTATGTTTCCGTAGTTCCACCAGAAGACATTTTGGATAATAAATATCACACTTTTGATATAATCATACACAATTAAGTGTTTCGCCATATATTCTTACAAACTTAGCTGCAAATACTTGCAATACTGCTGACTCACCTTTAAGCAATATTTACGTATTCACTCACTAAGTCTTTTGTCACTCCAGATGTTTTGTATGCATGCGTTGGTTATGTACAGCAAAGTATACCATATATACAGCTTAGTATTTCTAAGTAACCCACCTTCTTCACACTTTGGTGTGAAAGGTGTCAGTTGAGTTTACACAGGACCCTTTGTGTGCCCTGTTGATACTATTTACACTCATATGGTCCTGCTTGCAGGTGCAATATAGCCATTATGTCACTGCATTCACCATACATTACGGATTTCCATATTGCATAAATACCTACACTGAGCACTTATCATCTTAACTTGACAACGACTGGTAAACATCTTTTGTCTTCAATGAATAACCTGTAAACACCATTCGACAGCTTAACTACTGCACCTGTGACAAACAAATGTACTATATGAACACCGAGAGGAGAGAGCAAGGTTCACATTCGTCATGTGGAGGCACCTTTAGGACAATTGTGCATGTAGCTATGAGAAGAAGTACCGCAACCTTGAATATGACTTAGTTCTTTGTCCAGAAAATGTATACCAGTTCAGGTATAAAAAGAGGGTATGGTCTTACAACAGCACGTAGCTCTCTTGATTCCAGCAGCGAGATTCTGACTTGGTTTCTGTTAAACCCGGCAAAGCCATAACATACCATTACATTGATTAAATTGCTACAGTTCACAGAGGTGTCATAGCTCAGCACAGTTATCATTGAGGTACACAGACCAAAATAATGTTCAACACGACACCTATGAAACTACGTCAGTGTTAAGTATCATGTGCACGTTGACAATGTTTCACAAACTACAATGTTTTGTTCAAACTAATACATCGAAGTGTTCAAACTAATACATCGAAGCGTTCAAACTAATACATCGAAGTGTCCAAACTAATACATCGAAGTGTTCAAACTAATACATCGAAGTGTTCAAACTAATACATCGAAGTGTAAACTAATAAAGGAAAGAAAGGAAAGAAAAAGAAAGAAAGAAAGAATTAATTTTTTTTTCGTGTAAGCCCGGTAGGTTGCAAAACTTTATATTTAGTTAGTGTTGAGAGCTTGCCCAACTTTTCAAAATCATGTGTGAGCCCGGGCTTTATTTCATGATGGTAGCTACGCCCCTGTTTACCTTCGTCCTTTATTTTGCGCAAGGTACTGACAGATATACCAGTAGCATCGCTGGCTTTTTTGAGTGCACTGTGTGTGCTGTCGGAAATAGTACACATGTACTGAATGACATTGTAGGCAACCTCACGTGTTTGTGAATGAATGACTTGACCCCGTTTACCCAATTTAGAGTGCGACATGATAAGTTTCAAATACCTGCAGAGTTTAATACTCTTTTAACAGTCCACTTTACAAGATACTAGTATACACATGCTCGAGCAGAAACACAACGTTTCCGAATCATTGCGTAGAAAGTGATTACTGCGAGGATCACAAAAATCACGTGCGCAAAGTTTTCACACCTGTTCCCCCTTCGAGTAGATAGAGGATCAGTTCACGGCACGCTCCCAGCTGTCCTTTCACAAACGCGTCTTTCGCGCACCTCATTCTAATGTTGGTTGGACAGTAGGAATATTTGTTTGTATCTGTTACATGAACAAAGTAGTTGGTGTAGAAGTGATAGAGTGTGAACATTTCAAACTCTGTGAACTGTACAATACTTGTCTTCAAGCAATTGAAATATGTTTTAGTTGTTTGACAAATAACACCATTTATTCACAACTATGAATGATGTCTTAGCTTTGTTAAGAAAGAGAACAAAGATAAGATACAATTTAGACAGCAGACTTAAGAGTTTTTTCAGTGATTCTGAATTCTGATATAAATTACATTGAATTGTTTGTGAAAGAATTGGTGTAGAAACACAACTTCCCAAAGGAAACTTCAGTTTCAAATTATTTTAAGGCGTGCTGAACATGTTTGACTGTACCTACTTAAACATGAAATGCTGAAATTTTATGAGATCAACAGCTCTTTAAGTGTGTGTGTGAATGTAACACAGGTTTTAATGAATTTATAACTATTTTTAGTCACGATATGGCTGAAATACTGCCACTGTGACTATAAACTTTAACTCACTCACTCACTCATGATATATCGTCTCGCCTCATTAAACTGGTATCAGGATATATCGTCTCTCCACTTAGACTACGAAGCACAGCTCTAATACCAAGTATGTGCATATTTACACATTTACAACAGGACTTCACATCATTAATACATTGTAATCATCTTTTTCGAAAGTATAGATAATGAAATTTGTGCAGCTATGTGAACACACCTGTCTGTGTTTTATTGCAATAAGCAGTCTCTCCTTGTATGTCATATATAAGAAGTGTACCTAAGGTCAATTATTTAAACTATAATGTAATTTCCATTACAAAAAGTATAAACGGTATTACCTACTGATCAGAAAGGCTTATCAGTACCCCACCGCCACCACCCCGCCCTAGGCCTACCCCATCCCACACCCTCTCACACACATGCACACACACACACCCTAACATGCATATCGCTCTGGCCCATAGACCCAATATTGTAACCTTTTAAACAGACATCATGTGTATGTCAAGAAAGGCAGGCACGTTAATAGTGGTGCTCAGTCATGGGTATCACTTCGCCATGTGTTTCTAATGATCTCCGTGCATTATGGCGTGGTCCGACGCGCTAACGAACCCGATGTGACAGTTACATTACAGAACCATTGAAATACATGTTAAAGTAGTGTTAATCTTGTAACACTATATTTACCCATTACCAACCATTTACGCGTGTACTAAATATATGACAAACCTAACCCTGGTCATACGAGATTTCAAAGGTATTGAAATGCATGTCCTACAATCACAGCATTTACATACGTTACACATGCTAGAAAACACATGAAAACAATGGCCAGATTTACACACCTGTGAAATACAAGTAAATACAGAGTTGAGTGTTCATTTATTTTAACACCCCTTTAAACGTGTGTAAATCTGACAGCCAGATGATACGTAGATTTCAAACGTTGTTCATATGGCCGCCGGATGAAACGTATATTCCCTAATGTTAGTAAATTTGGGTAATACAGTCATTTTGTGTGGTGAAACTTTAATAGCATCGTATTTCTATATTTTATGGCGAGGTGTAGGCAGCATGACCTTAACTAAGACGTCACAGACTGTCCCAGTTTGATGAGGTCGTAAAATGATTCACAATGCATCTGGCTCATTGGTTACACATGTTATGTGTCTTTTGCGCTTATTTAGTTTAGTTCTGTAACGCACAATGTGATTGATATAATATCAAGTCCGTACCAGTCCGCCAAACTTTTCTAGCGGCAGAGCCTCGTTTTGAGATTTCCACGATTCCCAGGTTTCTGTTTGTCAGTGCTCGCTGTACGACAGAACCCGCTGCACGACAAGTTTGCAAGGATTATAAGGAGCGTAGTGTTGCAATATACATTTGCTTAGATGTATCAAATACTACTGATTAATATTTAGGTATCCGGTTAAATGAATTGGTCTCAAAATTCTGGACTGGTTATTGTACTAAGTTGCGCAATAGGACGGAACCCACTAAACAGGAAACGAGACTGATGTTTAATCAATGTTTTGACTTGAAATGCGCATGCAGTATTTATTTTTGAGAAGTGTGGTGTGATATAGTGCCTTTAAACATCCTTGAGTGACATTTATTGGCATCATCAGTACTGTATTATATCAATCCATTCATTGCGGTGCTGTGTGTGTGTTGCAGGACATGTTCAAGGATTCCATGTTGGTGATGGTGCAAGTGGTTGTGGTGATGTTGTTGCTCTTCGTCATCCTCAAGTCCCATCTCCCGTTCCGCGTCATCGAAACCGTTCGTCACACCAGGCACTCAACGATTCTCTTGTCTTTCGTCGGGCTCATCGGCATCTCCATGTTGATATACTCGGGACTCTGGGCATGGAGCATCTCGTAAACATCCAACTCATGGCCACCCTTTCCATCGTGATAAATCGACTCAGTCCGGATCTTCTCGTAAGTAACGGAAAGACGCGAGTGTTGGCGGAACATATTCCCTGGTGGTGTTCAGAACGAACCCAGGAGGTCACGCGGGTGGCTGTTTTTCTCACAAGAAGGGGGTAGTTGTAATATTTATCATAAGAGCCGATATGGGACACTGTCATACATTTGCTGTTGTAATTTACATTGAGACGTTGTGAAGAATGAACGTATGCTCTGTTGCTGCAAGAGGATGACTAGTGAATCAGCTCGCTCTTGTTCAAACTGATCTCAATATATATGTTAGCGTCAACAAGGAAACTCAGTTTGGCGTTACTGCCTAGTCAATAAGGTACAGCCTAGTCAATAAGAGAACTGATGCCTAAGGTTAGTCAGTAAGCTTATTGACTGAGTCTTTAAGGATACTGCCTGAAATTTATAGTAGGCAGTAGCGTTACTCCCTAATACATAAAAGCTGATTTTTTTTATCTCATCTCACATACACACAAGAGTAAATTGATTGATTACATATTCATATTACATGTTCAGTGAAGAATTCTTTTGAAGCTATACAAAGTGTAGCCCTATACAGACCATCTTGTGCTTCTGTTCTCAGCCATCCAGGCATTCAGCATGCTATGTACGTCATCATTTCGATCCTTCTGCACTTCCCTGTGACTGGGGATGCCGCGCTCTACCATTTACCAAGACAAGTTCAGGCCACATATCTTTCAATTCTCTGATAACTTGAGAAACAAATTCTCGACCATTGTTGCTCTGCAAGATGTGAGGGGCTCCAAAAATACTGAAAATGTCCAGTAAATTCTTTGCGATTTCTGCACTTCGTTTGGATTCAAGGGGCCGTAAGACAGAACTTTGTAAAGTGGTCCTGTCTCAATTTCAGACATCTTTTCAAATAGGAACTTAAAAACCAACTGAAAAGCAAACTCTGCAGGTTACAATTTTACAATCTTGGTTACCCAAGCTGGCTTGATCTGACGTGAGATGGCACAGTAAGCTCACAGCTGACAATCACCAGCTGACTCATCATGAGGGAGTAGTGATTCACCTAGCAATTAACAAACTATGCGCTGTGCATTGTGTTATGGTTGTCGGTACTAACTTTTAACATTTGTTTTGTTCACCGTATTTCACTCTTATACCATCAATGGAGAAATAAAGAAATATCTATTTAAATCTAAATATTTGGGAAATGTTGTAGTCAGTAACACTACTGACTTAGGCAATAAGCGGAAGAATAAAAGATATAATTCAGTCAGTAGACTTACTGTCTAGACGTTTTAGTCAGTAACGCTACTGACGGAGTTTCCTTATTGACGCTAACATATATATCAACAATGCCATTGCTTGTGAAAATGAAATCATGTCTAAAATTATATTTGGGCTTTTCTATATATTTTACTGGAAACATATTTTACGAAAGGGGCATTATCGAATGGCCCTCCGTCGTGACGCCGCAGTGACCTCGACGTATGTTGTCGTGTTGACGTTACCAAATAACGCCGATAGACTCTGGTGATACCACGTCATGGAGTGCCTTTTGTAGTCGTATCACATCACGTGGTTAGTTGTTTATGTAATACTTAAGTGGGACAGCGAAGATTTCAACAGTTTTAGATGAAGCATAAGAACTGTGTGATACGTATTTTCTGTGATTACCTGTAAGAATGCTGAATGGTGTGTTCGAGTCCTGACACAAGCCCTCCAACTGCCTATCTATGTCAACAGAAAGACCAAAGCTGTATGCATGAAACCTGTGCCTGAAGTGTATAGAGGGAAATTGCTGGAATTGCTACACATGGGTGGCCAGGGGTGAAGACTTGTTCGTATTGAAGGAGACACGGGTTCGATTCCCGTGCGTATCTCATCTCTGGTGTCCCTTGCTGTGACGTTACTGGAGTGTTGTAAACAACTGTATAAAACCTGACACACTCATCAAATTGTATTTATAGTGTTACAGAAGATTTTATTTTCTGCAGAAAAGGAAAGTTCCATGTGATGAAGTACAACCTCCACTGCGGAGCTATCGAAAGTGCCATTTTAAAACCCATGAAATGTGTTTATTTTTTATACAAATATATATTTATGTGATTCCGCTCGTGCCAGGGGTGCCAATTCTTGTCGAGGCCGTACCAAGTGAGTTCGCTGATGGTTGCAGTCCTTTGACAAAGCTGCTTCCCTTATGTGTGACAAGTGCATTCTTTGTGATTTATACTTGGCAATGACACAGTTCAAATGGACATTACCATAAATATTTTAGTGACTACCGGACATTGATGTACTCTTGCCTGGTAGCGTATCTTTGCCAGATCCTCAGCTATAAACCATAAGTCACCTGCAGAGACGGTGGAACAATGTACTTGCAGGAGGCAGACCGTGTAATTCGTGGAATTATCCTTGAGTTGGGAGGAATTCCACTACTTGTTTAAATGTGAAGTACTGTTACATCCCAGATTCATCATTGTACCTGTACAATACAACACACGTATTTAAATTGAAAGAAATGCTGACATAATAAGAAAAATATGTAAAACTATGTGAAATTCAGTACCGACCATCTGGCAGACCTGTTCACTTTAACATGTCGTACATTGTTGGTCTCTTGTGCACCACCGTTGGTGGTCTTCTTGAATAAATAAAGTGAACTAAATCCAGAATATGAACCACGATTATGCCCAGATCGACACATCACATCTCTGGACCTGCATGACGTCGGGATTTCATCCCCCAAGAAGCAGACACAACTCACAACTGTGGACGGCTGCTGTGGCCACTCGAGCCTTGAACGTCAGGTGGCAATTACATTTTGTTCATTTGAACTTTTTGAACATTTGCGTAACTGTGCGTAGTAATTTTATTGTTTAATGAAATACTTTGTACGGCCTTACGGGCAGTTTAATCAATTTCATGTTTGATATGTGCTGTTTTTATCCAATACTGATGTGCTATGCAGGGTTTTGGTTTGCAGTTCACACTCATGGAGTTACAACATTGTTGTGTGGTGCAAGGTTATGTTGTTACAACATTGTTGTGTGGTGCAAGGTTATGTTGTTACAACATTGTTGTGTGGTGCAAGGTTATGTTGTTACAACTCATACAGACAAACCAGTCGGGGGAGCATATGTATGACAACTGGTTTGCAAATGGCTGCAATAGTGCCTATTCAAGTTTAACATCACACTTGGATTCAGGATATGAGCGTCATATTGCTCTAACCACTCAATGTTCTCCCCTTCTATGTCTCTGAAAGATGGCTCCAGAGACACACCTCCAGTGTAGGGTCTGATCAGATATCTGAAGACCAACTCAAACATCAGACTGTTTACACAGTGACCCTTACGGACATCAAACTGGTTTATATGGAGACCTAGTCAGACAATAAACTGGTTTACATGGTGACCCTGACGGACATGAAACTGGTTGGTTTATATGGAGACCTAGTCAGACAATAAACTGGTTTACATGCTGACCCTGACGGACATGAAACTGGTTGGTTTATATGGAGACCTAGTCAGACAATAAACTGGTTTACATGGTGACCCTGACGGACATGAAACTGGTTGGTTTATATGGAGACCTAGTCAGACAATAAACTGGTTTACATGGTGACCCTGACGGACATGAAACTGGTTGGTTTATATGGAGACCTAGTCAGACAATAAACTGGTTTACATGGTGACCCTGACGGACATGAAACTGGTTGGTTTATATGGAGACCTAGTCAGACAATAAACTGGTTTACATGCTGACCCTGACGGACATGAAACTGGTTGGTGTATATGGAGACCTAGTCAGACATGAAACTGGTTTACATGGTGACCGAGACATTAAACTGGTGTACATGGTGATCCAGTCAGAAATTAAACTGGTTCTGTCTGCGACGCATGCTATATAAGGATGTATGTTTCTTTCTGTAATGCATGCCATATTACCTCCTGTAATGCTTGCCATAGGATTTGAAATTTGAAATAATAAATTTGTTTAACAAGACAAAGTAGTGTCACGGAAATAATAGCAGTTTATCAACACTTCGTCACCATTGCCAATGCGAACTCCAAAGAGCTGCTATTGATGCCAAGACAATGCTGTACATATTTCATTTCGGTTGATCAGTGTGACGATATGTCCTTAAACTATCAATAAATGCGATAGTATCGGGTCATGCAATATGGGTTGGGAACTGGTTCATCCAGATATCCGGTATGAAAAGTCATTACAATACCACCAACAACCCCACCCCACCCCTCACACACACCCATCCCACCACCCAGTCAAGGTGCTGTATCTAGTGCCGCTCTGTGCGGACTTCAGATTGTTAATAGTGTTATTAGTTCGATGTCGGTAGTAATATCATATCTAGCTGACATGCAATGTGGGTTTTCAGTCAAATATTAATTGACTTCTGGGACTGAGCAAAGATTAGGACCAAGGATTGACCCCAGGCTAAAACTTTCCTAAAACTGAAAGTACGACAATTGACCTCCAGTAACTTCCTTGAAGTCAAATACATTTTGGTTATTTTGATTCACAGTCAAGAAAAAACATCAGTCACTCTTCTATAAAAGCTGACATATATCACAGGCGAAGCACGCACGCACGCACACGCACGCACGCAGGCACATCTTGGAAGTTTTATTATAAATTGTATATTCATATACTTATCCTATCTCACGGTATGCACCTCTCTTCTTCTACGACCATGTGTGGAAACGTGCTGTTGGCTAAGTTGAATCAAAACTTCCTGACCTCTGACCACCTGACCTCTGCCCCCACTCCAATAGCAGACCTGTCAATCATCTCAATAAGCGTGCCAATGGCTCAGATGATCACGTGACGTTCTGTGCCTGTCATTCTCGTCTTGGAGCGTCCAGTAATCTGTGATGTTGGGCAGGTCGGGTGGGTATCCATCGCGTGAGATAGGATAAGTATATAAATATACAATTTATAACAAAATTTCCAAATTTTTAAACGTATCCTATCTCACGGTATACATTATCCCACGGTTGGCTGGTGGGCCGCAGATTACCCTGTGTCAACTCTACAACCGTGAGGTCGCATAACACAAGGAGGCCAGGAGAAGGCTCCCGATATGCTAACTCCGAACTTGTGATGGATTGCTTCTGATAACCCCTTAGCTTACACAGCACAAAAACTCTAGGGAGTGGGCGAATTAATGTGGTTTTCAGCCGCAACTTTTGACAAGCAAAAGGACGCAGTTTGGCAAGTGGACCCCACCTCCCCGCGATTTATCAAGTGACCCCAGTGAATTAAAGTTGAAGACCTTAATCTGGACAGTCTCTGCTTCGAAACTCCACCCCAAAGACCAAAGACACGCTTGAAGGCGGTGAAAGAGGGAATAGCCCGGTTGCTCAACTTGTTTAAGATTGAGTACCAATCCCCCTTACTTACCAAAGGTGAGAAAGGACTAAGGTGCGGAACGCTTCGAAAACCACATAGGTAATCGAGAATCAACGCTTCACTGACGTAATTGCTCAGAGAGTAGAGGTCAGTAAGCGGAGGTGTCGACCACCTGTGCATGTAGCACAAGACTGGCCTCTCAGTCTATCGAGTCATATCTATGACGGTGCAGACACGCCCCAGTTCCCTAGGTGAGGTGGTCTATGCCCAAATATAATCCATACCAATAAGAAATATAGGATCGATATCTTTCATGATATAGAGAATGCAACACGAAGGTAGGAACTGCATCTTATCTGCGAGCCGACAACTGCTGCGCCAGAACCAAAGGACCCAGTTGGTGAAGACATTCCTCGTCAGTGACAGACAGATCCCGAAGGTAGGGTGAGACGAAGACCGTGTCCAAACTCCAAAAACAACCCTCCATGATGCCGTGAAGGGAACAGTTCTATGTAGCGCCATCGTAGAGGTCAAGGCTCTTGTCTCATGAGGGTTGGCTGTAGGAGTAGGAGGAAGGTCGGCGTAGGCATGAAGGATGGTAGATCGCATCCAGAAGGTCAGTGTAGTACGAGAGACTTCTGTAGATGAGGCAGATGACAGAGAAATAAACAGTCTCTTGCGTAACCTACGATGGTTCTTGGAGGCAGCTAAAAAACCCGTAAATTCCGGACAGGACATAGGGAGAGATCCTCAGTGTCGTCAAGGCCCAGAATAGTAGACAGTGGCGGGAAGGCAAATAGTCTGTCCGGCTGTCCAGGCAACTGGTTTCAGTGACGAGATCCCACCTCAAACCAGGGAGGGCTTTGGCATGTCTGGTCCTCTCGAAGGGCAACCAGGTGACATCCAGTGCGTGAAGCTCGGAGATGCAGGCAGCAGTCGCAAGAGCCAGGAGGAAGAAATTCTTAAACGTGACATGCTTGAAATCCTTCTCAGCCAGAGGTTCATACTCCTCTGACGTAAGATGATTAAGAATCACGGAAAGGTCCCAGGCTGGTGGCCGGAACTTCCGGGATTGATCAGCAACTTTGTTAGATCTAAGGAGATACTGGAGCTCAGGGACAGTTGACACCTTCGCACCCGTAGCCGGCGCAATAACTGTGTTACTCTGTAGAATCCTTCAATTCCTTGGAAGTTCTAGGATGCTGAAGATACTCCGCGACTATCTGAGGCGATGCTGTAGTGGGAGATATAATACCCATCGTCTTGCAGTTCGCTTCAAAATTCTTCCATAGTCATCAGGGTGGCCAGATAGAAGTTCGGTGCGCCGTGGTAATCGCCGTAGCGACTCGATTGGAATATCCCTTGCGATTCATGTAAATGCACCAGGCGTGAAGATTAAGTGCGAGCGGAGACCAATGCAGCTGATCAGAGTGAAGATGAACCAGAAGATCGGTGTGATCAGGAAGTGGTACTGGAATGGGTCGACCAAGTCTTGCAGGTCTAGAAACAAACTTCTGACGGGCCAAAAAGGTGCGACCCAAAATCAGTGTCATCAGCTGCGTCGTGCGTAACTCGAGCAATAAGCGTGGAAGTAGTGCCACTGGTGGAAATGCATACGCGTTTAAGTCATCCCGGGATGTGATTGGCCTGGACCGTGATGTTGAGAGAGTCCACTAAGTGTAAAAACTGTTGTGTCCACTGAAGAAGCTGAGGAGACCCTGGGGATCCCATTCGATTGATGTGCCACACGACTTCAGCATAGTCCGATCGAATCAAAAGCTTGGTTGATTGTAACAGGTGTGCCAATGAGTGATCGCAAGAATCACTGCCCTGAGCTCCAAAACGTTGATGTGACATGCAAGGTCTGCGGGAGACCACCACCCGGCCACCTGCTGATCGAGAAAGTGAGCTCCCCACCCGTGTAGAGAAGCGTCTACATACAGGTGATGTACTTGGAGCAAACAGTCTTAAAGAGACTGGAGATGGGGATGGAACACTGGAGAAAGAAAGAACAATGTGTGAGGGTCGCCGATCCTGATGTGCGGACACAGAAAATATTGGAGAGGCCGTATTTGAAGCTATCCCCTCAGAGTCACAACTTGAGATGATGTCAACAGAAAAGGTCTGTACCTGACGAAGAACCTTGGGGTGCGGAAGCGCTAGGGGTACCATAGAAACTCCAGCGCAGACATTCAGTTCATCGAACCACCACTGAAGGACTGGACGAAGCGGTTCTGGAAGCGACTCAATTCCTTCGGGTTCAACTGACGGTCTCGAGATACGGGCGTAGAAATCACTGTATCGGCCGAAGTAGGAGATGGCCTCTGTACTTTGAGGCTTGAGCTGATGTCAAAAGGCCTAGCAACTACTGCCACTGAAGAAGAAATCTCTCCTGAGATAGGATACATTCGATTAGTCAAGCCAGTATCACAGTACTGAAGAAGTGCTGAATGTAGTAGGTTCGTGGCATGTGTCAGTCAATCTACAGGAACGTTCACATTGTACACATAGTGATGCAGGCCGTATTATCAGTGATCACATGAATGTATCGGTTCGCCAAATGAAGTGCTGGTCCGCCAGAGAGAGTGAAAAGTTAGTAGATGCAAGGCATGGGATCGTCAATCTACTGGAACATTCGTAAAGTTGATGGAATGGCGGAGGTTAAAAGACCAGTGACCCCAGGAACGTTCGTAAGGGAAACGCAGGTAGTAAAATCGATGCTTGCGGACAGTCCGGACATACCTGCAGGGACCTCTGAACTGAGGGCTTAAGCTTAAAACCGAGTAACCCAAGCCAAGTGAAAGCGTTCTCGGGCGATTCAGTCCGACACCCTCGGTAAACTGCTTCTCTCGGGTGACTGACGAATCTCGACATAATCACTCTTACCGGGAATGCCCCGTTCATCATCACTGGCAATTAAAGGCTGGGATAGGTATCCGCTTCGTGGGACCAAGACAAGTCTGTCAGGACACTTCATAGTCACTGTATCATCAAAAGTCTCCGGTAAACAAACAGTAGTCCGCCATTGCAAATGCTACCCACAATGCAATAGTGACAAAAAACGGACAACACGGACGTCAATTAACCAGGCGAGTCCCAACCCATAGAATCTGGGTAAAGTGACGCTAGCTACTTGACCAAACATCACTGCTGGTACCACACGCAGAAACTGTGCATAAATAGACCAGCTTGATATTCAGGAATATTGTACAACGCTTCACTGAGTCTTGTTACTGTATACACACTACTCGCAGCAGCTTTGTTGTGTATCACTGGGTGTATTCGTGGTCTGTTTTGTCAACCTCAGCAACCTTCCTTTCACATCATCGTCAAGTTTCTGGACAAATATGTAAAACCGGGTGGTTGTAGAGCTGATATCTACGTAGAACTGACTGACTGACTGACTGAGTTTGGCTTTATGCCGCGTTTAGCAATATTCCAGCAACATCACGGCAGGGGACACCAGAAGTGGGCTTCACACGTTGTACCCATGTGGGGATTCTAACCCGGGTCTTCGGCGTGACAACCAACGCTTTAACCACTAGATTACCCCACCTCCCCTCTACGTAGAAGGGTAGATTCGGTGAATCGAATCATTCATCAAAGGTGAAGATCAGATGGTAGATGACGGAGGAA